CAATAGTTGTAATCTATAAACGAAGATATTAACTGACCTGGTAATAAATCTAAGACAGCAGTTCAGATGCAATTATTCTCTTTTTTCCATTCTCCAGCCTCACTTTCTTCTTTTCAGATGCATTTCTTGTGTTGTATCCCCGTTGCAGATATCTTTAATTAGTATTGCAGTGTTAGTTTTTTTCTTTCCTTCTTTAAGAGGTGTAGCAACCTAAAACGATACAGATTTATTACTTACTTGAATTAGAGTTGTTTTGTTATAAATTGTCAGCTGATGCAAAACATCCGAGGTATCACAACTGAATTGATGTACAGAATATCCAAACTCTCATATCTTGACATCTTAGCCTACATTTCATCACTTTATATGTTCTGTTCAGATGGGTTTTTAACTTGAATGAATATCTAACTGTTCCATCACAGATCCTGCTCGCGACGCCAATATGATAATTGGAAGTAATCGAATTATAGTATGAACTAAGAATCCCAGGGGTAACGCAATTGAATCAAGAAGTACTACACAAGCACTAACGAATGTACTGTATTTAGAATTCGAAATCAAACATTCAACAAGTACAAAGGAGTGATTAGTTCATTCAAACACCACAGCTCACCACACTGAAGTTTGGAAGGACCCTACATCCACACACATGCTGGACACGCACACGTGAATTAGTGTAATTGGATACATTCCTACAAGTGATTTCTTACATTTATCGCATGCAAAATTTGCATTATCTCCTCGTCAAATCGTTTGGATGCTCGGCGAAGTGACCACAACTCACGAAACTTATTGCCAATTGCCGCGTTGCAGTGTGGAGTTGTTTTCAATCGTGACTTACCCCGGAGTCTTGCACTTATGAAGGCTATGTGCCGTCGGCAGTATTCTGCAGTATGCCACCGGAATTGATGCGCTTGAGCACACTTCATGGAATGAATTAATAAGCCTCAAGATCGAGTCCATCTGACTAATTTGTCTAGGTGAGCTTGAAAATCAAGTGATCGGCCTCACTTCTCATAGTTCACTAGATTTCGAGATCACATTCCATCTGCGACCGGTATACTAACCCTTGTAATGTTAGTGATCAATTGAAGAACAGCTTCGTCAATCACACGTACAGGTCTTATGGCTGGAATCTCAGAGGTGTGATTAGACTAACCACCTTAACATTACACGTGAAGCAGACTTTGCTGAAATAGTGTAAGAAAGTCTCAGCATTTGACAGACCTGATTCAGCAAGCAAATCTGAATTTTCGTGTCACAGTAATGAAGGAATACAATCACAGTGTTTTTTTCCTGTTTAACGTATGCCAACAATCGTTTTCGGTAGGTACGGCGATCATATATCAACTGTCTTTCTTAAAGAGTGAGGCATAACGATTTAGTTTTTACATATATTCTGGATTTTTCAGAGTTCACTCTTAGATGGTTTGTGTCCTGTTGACAAGTACAAGTTTCATGAGTGTTTTCTGAGATTCAATAGAATCTGAGTATCTATATTGTTCTTCAGAATGCAAAGTGATAGCTTACGTGTTGACCACAGGAGAAAGGTGATATTGACACATAATATTCGTATTCCATCAATCCATTGACACCCGCCAAATAGTCAGTCAAGATATCACAGATTATGAGTGTCAGACTATAAGCTCACCAAATATTGGTTCGGGAAGAGAAAAGCACATATTGTATACAGTGTGCCTGAAACATACTGTTGTTCTAAACAGCGAGTCTGACAATGTTCTATGAGACATGGTCAAATAAATTATTACATGTGAACATTGTATAGTTTCAATTCTGTTGTTTTATAGTGAAACTAAATTCCATGCAAATATTTCATTTGTTTTGTTGCCAATATGCCAACATAATCAGACCAAAAATTTTGAATGTGTACGTTTTGAGGTGAAATATTTCATAATTAAGCAATCTAGTAAACAACATCAAAGTTGTGTGATAGAGATTTCAAGAAATCTGACCATGTGTGATTCTGAAAACCTGTGTGTTATAGCTCACCTAAATAATGATGACTGATACCAATTTCATTTATATATTACGGTTGAAATCCCGTAAAATGTGATTAGTGACGTCCTGTGAAACCAACTTAACGTTCGCATAACCGTTATTCATTGCGTGTGATGTACATGAATAATTGTAGTGTAGTTAAAAATTAATGAAGTAGATCAATATGGTCAGGTTTCTTAAAATCTCTATCATACAACTTTGATGTTGTCTACTAGATTGCTTAATTATGAAATATTTCAACTCAATACGTACACATTGAAAATTTGTGGTCTGATTATCATGGTATATTGGCAACAAAACAAATGAAATATTTGCATGAAATTTAGTTTCACCATAAAACAATAGAATCAAAACTATACAATGTTCACATGTAATAATTTATTTGAGCAGGTTTCATAGAACATTGTTAGAATCTCTGTTTAGAAGAACGGTATGTTTCAGACACACGATATACAATATGTGCTTGCTCCTTCCAGACCAAATACTTGGCGATCTGATATTCTTACTCTCATAGTCTGTGGTGTTTCAACAGACTGATCGGTCGATATTGACGTCTGATCAACGATGTGTAAGTTTATATCTAAAAAAGTGACAGATTGACTGACGATACGCAACACCCAGATGTATGTGATCTTGAAATCGTGTATATTATCGCTCAAGTAAATGATGGTGATTGTATGAATTCTATTCTAGATGAGTGTGAGTTATTGTTGTCTCTACAAGGAATACGATATTTTTTGTTGGATATAACTGCTTCCGATTTCCGAGGTGGTGTGTGTTATTCGGCTTTCCGCTTTTCCGTTTGAATTCAGGATCCCGCTCAAGCACTTCGTGATTGAATTCGATAATCTCCATATTATATGTCCTTTCCACTTCCAATGTCTTTTTTGAATTTCCTCTTCAGGTCAACGCTGGTTAGTTCTCGCCAACAATAGGCTTATGCAGATTGTATCCGTCCTACATGTGTTATGTATCATGCGTAGAAAAGAATGGCCGGTGACGTTGATTTATACGATGCATGTTTGTATATTTGTCTGTGTGTGTCCATATTCATGTATGCTTGGGGATGAAATAATGTGACATTTGCTGTGAGAAACGAAAGTGATTAGTTTGCACATAATCACACATTGTTACTCAAATAGATGTATATTTAGGCCTTCTTTTCCATTGAGTGCATCAGGATTGAGTATTATATGGAAATCTGCAGCTACTCGCCTCTCTTTGTAGTTGGAAAAACCTGTTTAGCTACTTAAATATTTTTAACATAGACTTGATATTTGTAGAAAATGGCGTGATTCGGTATTCTCGATTTATTTTGGAATCCTTCCAGATCTACGAGATTATTATGTTCTTCCTTCGTGTACGTAAGATATTCACGTTAGGATTTCACGAAGCGTCTATCTAATATAAAAGGCATCCTAATTTGTAGACACAATTATGTGTTGAAATAAATGAGGTCACTCACTTTAGGCGAAATAATGTACTTCGAAGTGTATTTGATGTTCGCAATGTAATTTAATTCTTTGAATTTCTTCTTTTACAGCCTAGGGAAATGGTGAAACGACAGTGTCATTTTATTGCACTTTATATAGTGTTCATAGAAAAATTACTAAGTTGTAAGACATTAATTATATGCTTTCGTTCTCTTCGTTAGTCTTCTTCTGATGTAATCATGTCATTTGCTCTTCTGAAGAGATTTGGCCCTAGAGAGATTTCCGCGACGGAAGGATGTGCTGCATTATGTTGAGATTGATATAAGGTGAACTAGCAAGATTCCCTACAAGTACTATTCAAACGTTTAAATGAATGGACTTTACTGACAAATGTTTCATGTTGTTGAACAGCCTAGTCGTGTTAACTCCACATTTAAATTGGAAGCATCCATTGAATTAGTTGATAGTGTATAGGCAAATAATGTGAAGTTTTGAGATTAAACTAGTGTGAAGAGCGGAGATAGGAAATGTTTCTACTGTCTGAATCATGTGTTACGTAATAAAGAAACAAACGGTTGAATCAAATTTCAATCCTTCAATGTTAAAACTCTGTTTGGTTCAGTTCAGATATACGTAAGCAACCGCTTACTCAATTAAAATATTAGTTCACCTATCACTAGTTTGAAAATATGTTAGTAGCTTAATAAAAATTATATAAACCTTAACGTTTTGGTATGAATAGTTTATCAACAATGGTGTTCTGGTGTTTGTGTATCATGACGGCTTTATCCATTATTCACAGTGAGTTATCAATTATGTCTTGTCACGATGTCAATATTTCAATGTACTTGCTTGAATTAACTAATGTATATTTACACAGTGGATCCTTAACGTAATTAGTATAGTGCAAATAATGCACCTAATGCGATTAAAAATTGAGCTTGTAAGCGTTGGACAGATGGTGATAAATTGGTTGAGAATAATTTTGCTGACATTTGAACGTTGAGTTAACGCTAATCGTTATATTTTACTTGACAACGTAAACGTGATACTGTCAATACTGAAAGTGAATGGAATGAATTTAATACACCTAAGAAAATGGAAATACCCCAACCTGTTATTGCCACTAAGTTTTACGAGTTTATTCACTCACTCAACTAGACAGTAGAGAATTCTGTCAAACTGAAATATCTATTCACATTAATATTATCCACTCGTGATTCGCATTTAGTCGAAGGCATACACATTGAAAGCTCATAAAAATTGTGATGTATCCAGCAGTTTTCACGTTAAATCATTCAGCAGCTGATTAAGAGATTTTCACGGCAAAACTAATGAAACATTTGTTTCTAACCCAGTCAAAATATCAGTGAACCCTCTCACTCAAAATTCATTCCATCTGACATAATCTGATCACAATTTTATGTGGAAGTAATATGTTTACAGATAAGTATGTGCTTGTTATGGCGACATGTTGCAGTTAATTAATACTACTTGGTTTTCCCTTCACTCTTTTAAACAGTTTGTGCTCATGATCAAGCAAATTGTATGTCCAATCCGAAAATCTTACTTCTGTCACTCGCTGGATTTCGTTATGATTATTTGGACATAGCTGAAAGTAGAAATATCGATATCTCAGCGTTTGACAAAATTGGAAAAATTGGCGTCTATATAAGGCAAATACAAAGTGTATTTCCAACCATGGATTATCCCACACAATTTTCTATAGCAAATGGACTCCATCCTGAGAGTCATGGGGTTGTGGCGAACGAATTTTTTGATCCGATACTTAACATATCGTTTGATGTGAATGAAAGGCGTTCCGACTCGCAAATTTATGATGTCGGCAGTGAGCCGATATGGGTAACAAATCAGATGCATAATTATACAAGTGGAGTTATCAACTGGATTGGAAGTGAAGCGAAAATCAAAGGCCAGTTACCCACTCGTGTAGAACCACGAGGATTTACTTCCAAATCGTTTATCGAACATATTGATAATTTGATTGATTGGTTTGACAAGGATAATATCACTCTTGGTCTTATGCATTATGATCAACCTCTAAAAAGTGGAGAAGCATACGGGCCAGGAAGCGACGAAGTTCTTAAAGAAATAAAGGTGATTAATCATGGGATAGAGCATCTTCTGGAATCGATTTCTAATCGGCCGTCCCTTAAATGCTGTATCAACCTGATTATAACTAGTGGACACGGGTTAACAAACACCGGTTCAAACAAAGTCATACATTGTGGTGTATTTTTTAGCAACTACACTAAGCGTAAGGTGTATTACAGCGCGGTTAGAAGCTTTTGGCCATCGTCAAGTGAATGATTTCAAGAATAATTATTGGGATCCTAGAATCTCAGGAAAAATCACTATACGAGGAATTGAAAGAAAATGACAATGTAAACGTTTATTTCAAAAATGAAATACCTGCACACTTGTTCTACAATTCAAGTGTGCGGATTGGTTTTATCGTCTCAATTGCAGATCCAGGATTCGTAACCAATGATATTGATCCAATTGGTTCATTATTCCGTAAGTCCGCACTATTTTTGTTGTTTTGAATAGTCGATATCACAAACATTGTATCATGCACTACGTAATCAATGTAATAGTATCGGTCATATACACAAAAGCGTAAGGAAGTGACGTTTCAAAAGATGTTAGTCTGCATGTTTCTTAGTGACATATTTCATCAGTGTTTTACTAGTATCAGTTTTACATGATTAAGCAAGAAAAGAAAAAAACGGTTGATGACATCTTTTCTAAAGCTTATTTTCAGCAACAAGGCGGCTGAAATTGTAAGCAGTTACATATTTATCAATGTTGTGAGGACCCAGAAAATTCCTCCACAAAGTCAAGAGGACGCCTGTGAACGCTATGAAACAACTTATTCAATCAATATTAAATGGGAGTTTTTCGGAAACATCTAGCAAATCGACGGTTAAGTGTCGCGTTTCTGGTCAGCTGATTACTTATCCTGTAACTATGCTTAGTAGGGTTGCAGAAGTTCCCAGAAGATAAAAGCAATCTGAAGTGCTTTTAATACACCGGGTTTTGTGTACTTAAACTAGTCTAGGAGTAAAGCTTTGTTTTTATGTATAAGTCTAAGCTTTTATCAACCAACGAACATTCAGCGTACTGTAGTTAGGGAAGTCTTGATTAGTGTTTCCAAGATAATTAACTGAACACCACCATCTGAGGGAACAAGGTGAAAATTGTGTAGCTGAACATTGTTAGGAGTGACTCACGTTTTCTCATTGAATAAACAGTCATTCGTTGTAAAACATGTGCCTTTATGAATATTAACGATTATGGTGTGAAAAGAAATGAATCATTTCAATGGAGTTGAGAATAAACTGCACGAAATATTGTGAAGACAATGAAATAATCTGAATATTGAATGAAATCTTCGTGGTGTTGATAAAAGAAATCTGGATTTATTGTAGATTATATACGTTAATATCAAATGGAATTTTCTTTCTAGTACGAATAATCAACCTAATAGTGTTCGGGTTGAATGTCAAACAGGAATACTGAAATAAATATGTGTAATATGTGAAACAGCAACCTGTTAATTGATAATACGAAACATTCAAATATGTGTGATGTTGAAGCGCTGTGTGTTGTCGGTCACATGAATAACATTGCTTAACATGATTGTCATCTAATATGAATGTAATGTATTGTTATCTGTATGTGGGAGATAATATGTCATATACATATACACGTTGGAAACGATTCTCAATTCTTTGTTTAAATATTCTGTACTTTGTATGACGGAAATAAATAATATTCACATTATGATTGGAAATATTTTATTTTATTTCAGATTATAAAGGCTACAGTGGATATGATCCATCCAACTTAGAGATGTCCACGTTTCTTATGGCAACAGGTCCACATATAACTCAGAAAAAAAATGTTCAACACAGTTTCAAGTTAGTCGACATATATTTATTGGAACCTGCTCCAAATAATGGCAGTGAAGAACGTGTCCGACCATTACTGAGATGCGTAAGTTTGTTCAAAATAATTCAGTTATCGATTATTAATAGTAAAGTAACTGTATACAGTTTCACGTGAAGGAATCATCCAATACGTTTATGAAAATTATAGAACGATTAAAAATGTTTCCATATGCTTCAATATGGATAAAGTCGTGTTGAGATATTTTGGGATATATTTAGATGATACAGTCACATGATAGCCGGTGACACACAGTATGTTCATACACCAATTTTTTCTGCAAAACCTAGGAGACCAAGTTCAGCTTTGGTTTAAATTCACATTTTTCAAACTCAAAAGCAAGAATGCTTCACACAAAACAATTCATGTACTTGCTTTTTGTAAAAAAAAAAGGCCGCGAGATGCACATTAAAACGACATCCGTGAATTAAGAAGGTAAAGCAAGGCATAAAAGAACTATTCAAAAACGAAATAAAATCTCCCAAAAAAGCAAAACCAGTGGAAGCTGCGTAAAAACCAAAAGGTAGAAAAAAAGCACAATTGAGAAACTAAAACAAGATAAAAAAGAGAATTAAACAATGAAAAAAATTGTGGAAGAGACAAGTATTGAAAATTGAAAGACGCGGTGGGATCAAATGTTTCACATCTACGCTTCTAATATTTCCAAGATGATTTGTAGCATACAGGAATATTACGCAAGTGATTTGTTCTAGATTTTCGACAGAATATACAGTTTGATTAGTATTGAGCAATTATTGACACATATATTTGGTTTTGTCAGTTATTCGCTTGTAAGTGTCTGAATTGATCCAGTCATTTAAATTACAGATCACGGATGACCAATTGTTGAGTACACGCGATCCGCTGGAAGGTTCGGTAAGTGATCACTGCTGATGATTGTGATTGCTTTCATCATCCGATATTGCTAACGTCATGTCACACAATTCACACTCAATGAAATGATAGCGATAGTGTAGATAACAAGCTACGAAAGGAAATATTTAATGGCAGTCACACTGCATATATCTCAGTGACTTGAGTTGGCAGATTTTTACTAGTGACACTTCGCACATTTCAACAAAGAAGGTGAATGGAGGTTGGTACTATGAAACGAACACATAGCTTGCAAAGCCTCTCGACAGTTGCGAGAAGCCTGAACTTATAAGCACTAATATTTGTATGGACACACGTTTAGCATGTTGTGGTTAGTGGTGATGTGACATATGTTTCCAAAACATTGAACGGACATTCTCATATTAAGAATGAGGATAAAGAGTGTGTGCTTGAACACAGATGGGAATGATGCATTGGAAAACTTGTTGCACTATTAACAGGAATGCCAGATGCTGGTAAAATTATGAAGTGTGTAGTAGAGTTGCGGAACAGTGAATGAGTAGCATGAATGCAAATGTCAAACGGTGGATTGATGTGAAACATAATTGTCTGTTTGTTGTAAATGAGGATGAAAGAGAAGAGGCCAACATGTGTCACGATGGAATTAGAACAGGCGAAGTCGTTATTTTGTTTATGATCACTTAAACCATTGAACATGTCACTTGTGTACAAACACTATACATGAACTGGTGAACTGGTGAGCACCACACATTCAACACCAGTTTTATTCAGTGTTCTGGAGAACCGATTACAATCAAGACAAACTGGAATACAAAGTAATGACAGTTGTTCTTGAAAATCACTAAGCGAATCTCTCATATCAACGAGATAATGGTCGTCGATTCGACAACAAATCAGACCCTCTGTTTAGTGTGTGAAGTCAGCAAAGAAGAATCTATGATAATTTGAATTAATTGAATTTTATTATGTATTAAGAATCCCAGGGATAACGCAATTGAATCAAGAAGTACTACACAAGCACTAACGAATATACTGTATTTAGAATTCGAAATCAAACATTCAACAAGTACAATGGTGTCATCAATTCATTCAAACACCACATCCGCCACAGCTTATATTAGAGTCTAATTGTCTGTAATCAATTGAATGTCTTCTTTTCAAGTTCATACTGTGTCTGTCCGACAATGTATTGGATAAAGACTCTGTATTATTCACTTGATTTCTGGGATTGTGAACAATCACCATGCCTGTTGAATACTGGAACTACTACCTAGGATATGAACCATAGACTATCCTCCCCCACGAAATAATGTCGGATCATTATATCCCCAAGTTATGAATAATGTGGCTTCAATAAAAACATCTTTCTCAATTTTACTAGTGTAAACATTAAAAGTGAATTTATGATAAGGACAAACAACAGTTGATATGGAATTATCTGAATTGTAATCAAACTCTAACTCATTTAATACTCATGCTTCGCATTGAACAAGTTTCTCACAAGAAACAAATGCATCATGAGGACAAATAATATTTGATATGACATCAAGATTCGATTCTTCTGAAATAGTTTCCTCGAATTTATTAAGAATGTCATTGCAGAGTAAAGGATCACTAGAAAAATCAGCATCAATTAAAACTACATCAGATTTTCGATCATGATTAGGTTCATCGGAAATATTTTCACCAGATTTGTTAGAAATTTCATCAGAAATATGTGAGTCATTAGGAGAAATCACATCTGGTACAATAACACGAGAAATCTGATACATTGATTCATTAGAAATTGTCTTCTCGCAAGGATTATGAGTTTCATTTAACTCTGAACTGCTATTTGACTCTAAACCGTCGTTTGAAATCGTCGATGAAGATAAATGATCATTATAAATATTCAAATTGATAGAAACAGAATCACAAGACTTAATATTACTTGCAGCAAGATGAACAGTAGTATTACAAACTGACTGAATATGTCCGACATCACCACATTTAAAGTACTTACAATTACGAAATTTACATGGATTAAAAGGGCGGAACTTGCCACAAGAAAAACATTGACTAATCTTGTGCCCGTCTTCGTGAACTGCACAACCTTGAGTATGCACTGGGATGGGGTGATGTAATGTAGTGGAATTTTTTATATCCTCGTAAATTATTTTACGAAATCTCCCATTACCGCATTCGAAATTTGTATACTTAGCATAGTCTAGAAGTAGTTCCTTGAGAGTTGTATAAGGAAGAGAAATAGGCTTTTCCGGTGAAGTCAAAATTTTTAATAAGCCATATGCTTCTTTTCCAATGAATGTGAGAAAATGTGCCACAATATTAATATCCTCATCATCTTTCTTGGTCATGCTCCAGATTTCAAACCTTTCCAAATAGTCCTCAAAATCTTCAGAAGTTGAATGAATATCTAAGTGTTCCATCGCAGGCTCCATCGCGACGCCAATATGATAATTGGAAGTAACTGAATTATAGTATGAACTAAGAATCCCAGGGATAACGCAATTGAATCAAGAAGTACTACACAAGCACTAACGAATGTACTGTATTTAGAATTCGAAATCAAACATTCAACAAATACAAAAGAGTCATTAGTTCATTCAAACATCACAGGATCTCTCTCCATATAATTGCGTAATCACATATGATGTAATAGTGATTTGAAATGATGCGAATCATGCAACATTGACTGTGGGTGATCACACGCTCTAGTGTCATCAAAGTGGTATACAGTTGCATAGCGTGGCCATTAAAACAGTTTCAGTACTGACACTTCTATTAACCTTGATATTTCATAATGGCTTAGACGCTCGCATTTACAGTTGATTCGCATGAGTTCGTATGTATTATCGATGTGCTGCCTGGCATTATATGAACTAGATGGATTGTGAGTTTCATGTGGAAAATAGAGGATTTTCGTTAGTAAGTAAAACGAGATATGAGATTGCATGCACTTGATTAGTCAAATGAATTGAATTACGCGGTGGGATCAAATGTTTCACATCTACGCTTCTAATATTTCCAAGATGATTTGTAGCATACAGGAATATTACGCAAGTGATTTGTTCTAGATTTTCGACAGAATATACAGTTTGATTAGTATTGAGCAATTATTGACACATATATTTGGTTTTGTCAGTTATTCGCTTGTAAGTGTCTGAATTGATCCAGTCATTTAAATTACAGATCACGGATGAACTTTTTTTGACGTCACTTGATCCTTCGGAATGTTCGGTACGTGATTTGCTTATTATTTTCATTTATTTTACTATCTCGTTTCAATACATTTGACTTGATATTTGTCAAATTGCCAACATCATTGAATTTTTACAAATCTTCAACTTTCTTCTTGTGCCTATTATTTTCTTTCACTTTTTCGCCACTTTTTTTCTTTGTTCATCATTTTCTCCCTGTTTTTTTAATTTCTATAATGTGCATCATGTTTTCTTGCCTGTTTCATCCGATGTATTTTATTTTTCCCTGATCAAAATTTTTTATTGGCACGTTTTCAATGGTTGGATTTTTGTTTTACATCAGTTTTGTTGTTCATTTTTTGTTAATTTACATGTCAACTGACTTGTTTTATATGACGAAACATAATTAGCGATCATCAATGTCTATTCACAATGCAAAGTTTTGTGATAATTTCACTGTAGAAGTAGTGTAGGTCAAATGTTATGAACTCATCGTACATTGAATATCAGTTTACGAAGTCAGTAAATGAGAAATATAAATATATCCATGAACAGAAAACTATATTATCCTAGACTTTCATTTTTTTACATACAGTTTGCATCAACTTTAACATACATTAGGTAACAAACCAACCGGCTCATAGGACGAAAATCCATCAAAGTCATCCACTTGAGCTACATAACCTCTACGCTATTACTCATATATTTCCGTGGTCACATTTCAATGTGTATATACTGGAAGAAATTACTTTGTGAACAATCACATTTGTTTATTATATCCGACTGTTATTTAAACTAATTTAAAAACTTAACAAATACATATCAACACATTAATCGATAGAAAACCGAATGTAGTTCAACATTCAATATAATTGAATTATTCCATGAATCAGATTATCTCACAGATACGCTAATTCGCGTTTTGATCAATACACCGCCTACATTAAACAACTTTTCTATTTTCATCTTAATTTTAGAACATCACGGCAAGTGTCCACATACTATCTACCTTGTCAATCATCACATTTATTGCTTTCAGTACTTTCATTATACTTGTTGGTCTAT